CCCAACACAACTGGGAATTAAGTTACAGTCTACGAGTTACTTAAGAATGACAGTGAGTAAGCATTTAGTTATTTGGGAATGACAAAGGAGGTTTCATCTTTAATTTTCATAAGTCGTCCAAATTAATTAGTGCTTTAAAATGGCAATGAATCACTTCCTGAAATAATTTGTATTGGCTAAATTAATTCCAGTGAAGGAAGCCAATTTGCTGATTGTAAATTATCAGAGTCTCTGACTAGCTCCTGTATACATTGTGTACCATTTATTAGGCTACTGGGAAACAAAGGACGGCTACTTTTCATCAGTGAACAAGATTATAGCCCTATTAATTGACCAGCTTATTGTGGTACAATTATAGGTTTCTATTTAAAGAGTTCAAGCCAGACCTCATTAAGAAATCAAGCTGGATGTTCAGAGGAAAGGAAAAATAAACAGAAGAAAAGCTTGTTTTCTGAAGAGATGCACCAAAAAACCTATTTGGATATTTTCATCCTCTTAGGTTAACGAAGAGAAGTTCAGAAATGCAAGAGTAATTATGAAGATACTTCCATCATATGACAGTCCTAAAGGCAACCTGAAGCTTGAAGTCCCAGAGCCTGCTTCTCTCACTCATTGCTAGATGGTTGTTTCAAGACTCCCCTAAATTAAAATGACTCTTGAAAAGCAATGATGAGGTGAGAAAACACATACACGGGTTACTGCTCTTCTCCGTCAGGCCAAGAAGATGCTTTCACAGCACTCCCATGCTGCTGCGCTGAGAGCCTACCTCCAAGCTCCAGGAGACCTCTGCATGCATCCAGCGTGTACCACCACCCACCCACTGCAGCAAGATGACTTTGTTAAAGTCTGCAGCACTGTTCTCAATGGATTTCCCTTCTTTACCCCTCCAGAAATAAGAAAAAAAAAAATACATATACATAAAGCTTTACCTAAGCTAATTTGCATGGCATTCTCTTGCTTTTATCTGCATCTCCTCACTAGTATCAAAGCCTTGACATTTCTGCTTGAGAAATCCTTCCCTGGCTAACCTGCTTATCAGCAGTAATGAATACTCATGCAAACAGGTACAAAATTAAATGGCTTCTTTACAGTGATTATGATAGATTGAGTCGTGCTTAATCTACATAATCAAATTGCTTCTGTGTTCAGCAGTGATACCTTTTTGCTGCCCTCGGAGCAGGTTCAGCCTTGGTTCCTCTTTTGACAGCTTCTTTCTGAGAAACACTAACCATGACTGGCAAAGGGGCTAATTGAAATGCAATTATTTAACATAGCTGTATGAAGCACATCTTGAACTCTGCAATACGGCAAAGCAGGTCCAAACGAAATGTGTCCCCTTTAGGGAAGGGGAAAAGTTCATGTAGGACACAAGGGAAAACAAAGCACAGATCAATCTCCTCCAGCTACTATCCACGTACCTAGACGTAACTGGAGTGACCCTCCCAAGATAGATAAAACATCTCTAACTCAACTAGCTGCAGTGAGCTACTACCAGTACTATAATTTCCTTTCCCTCTGAAAGAGCATCATCTGCTTACATGCTAATGAAATAGAAGAATGTATTTTCCAATCTTCATCAAGACCAGATTCACGTTTCAATCAAGCTGGCTAACTGTTGTCTAGGTACCAGAAACAAAGGATGGCACAGGTATATAATAAAATCCTTGACTGGGGAAATAAAAGGATTTGGTTCAGGGAAGGTTCTGAAATGCATCTCTCTGTGTAACTCATTTATCAGGTCACTTAGGCCAAAAGTGTCCTGAAGCTTTCTCTACTTTTAAATATTGATCCATTTTATATAGTAAAATGAGAAGTGAGAAATGGTTTCCCACACAAACTATAAATAAGTGCTATTTAAAAATATATTAAACAGCCTATTTACATTTGTCCAAAACACAGCATTGAAAGCAGCAGAGCAAAGGTTTGCTTCCTGACATACTTGCTAGGAGGTTTTTTGTTTGCCTGGGTTTTTCTGTCCCAAAAAGTCTAACAAAATTGTTAGTCTACAAACTAGGTAATGTTTAGAAATAAGCACTAAGAGTTGCAAACTGCATAATCCTGATGCAAAATGCTAATAAGCACTTACAGATAACAATTTCTCTCTATTCTTATGGTTTTGACACAGGTGGAAAGAAGGCACTGGCTGGATCTCTGTGGTTGGAAGAGTGACAGCTCTAGAAAAAAGGTCCCTTTGTCAGCAAAGGAAAGCCAACACAAAGGTGGAGGAGAGCAGGGGGAGGGAGGAATATGGGTTCTGGAAAAGGCTGCTGGCACAGCTTGACTTTGGCTCAGGAGGAAATAAAAGCTTGAATTACATAAAAGAATCAATGACATTTCATCTGAAAGTTTTAGTTAGGTTTTAATTAGGATCCAAGATTTTGCATTTAAGTGCATGAAGTGGAGTACATGTACTCATGCTTCCCAAGATAACTGACAGATCTAAAACTTACTCATCTCATCTCAAAAGGTTAATTAAAGAACATTCCTTGAAAGCATCACTGTAGGGA